AAGGGCAGGTGCTCTGTGACTTTGCCTTTACGATAGGACTGCTGCCGCGCTCCACGCTGGACACAGGTTTGAGCAAGTAACATCCAGGGTCGCCCTCACTTTCCAAGTACCTGTAAAAGTAGAGCACAGATAAAACTAATGACCTCCCTCTGCTTTTAAGCAAACCGTGGTATTGCATGTAAACCTCTTACTGCTTCAGCGAAGTTAAAAACTAAGTCTTCATTAACTTTCATATTACTGTAATTATAATATACTTCGTTTCTTTGAATTAAATTATTTAAGTTTATTTATTATAACAATTATATTTCAAAGATTTTTATTTTGTATTTTATTTATTTGATAATTTTTGTCATTTTATATTTGACTTATTTTTTGTTTATTTTTATATATACAACAACATTTAATATTGTGCTAATCTAAATGTTAATAAATGCATTTATTTTAGTGCGTTAAATAAAAAATAATGCTTTGAGTAACTTTTAAAACTATAAACAAGCATGTATAATTACATTTCCAACATGATAGATTGAGATTCATCGAATACCTGCTGGATCTCACGAGGAAACGTTACTGTTTTACATTTTGTCTATTTAGTGGCTAATTCATACGAATTCGTACGAGTTCAGTCATACGAAAATGTATCATTTTTAAAAGGAGGCATGGCACCAAAGCCCACCCCTAAACCCAACTGTCTTTGGGGATGAGCCAATCATACTAAATTGTAGATATAGTGTTGCAAATACAGTGTAAATCATTAACACAGAACATTTAAAAACTTTGAAGAGTTTAGATTAAGTTTTTAATTCAACATCTCAATATGTAGTGAAAGTAGACCCGTCCTGCCTGATGTAGCCGTTCTGTCTTTTCTCGGCTCCGAAATGTACCCTCAGGGCTTGCAGGGTCAGTCCGACAGTGTGCGCTCTCTGTCAGTCTCTAATCAGGGGAAGCGCGCTCTCCTCAGACCTCAGGAGAGGGACAATGCCTAGATTGAAGGCACACAAAGGCCTTTGAGTGTTCCCCCTACAGTATCTCTGTATTGTGCCGCATTAGCCCAGATCCCAAAGGTGCACAGACCCCTGGCTTTTCCCAGCTCCCCCTCGCGCGCTCACTCGCCCGCCTGTCTTTTGAAGTGCCCTTTATCCTGGAAGGCGTTTACAGGCCTTTTTAATTACTTGCAGCTTGCCAAAGGGCTTTGCTGCTTCATTCTTCTCTTTGTTTGTTGGGTCTCCACAATCCCCATCTAGAAGACAGCCATCAGGATTTTGGATGCATTGCAAGTTTTCTCTCACCCCCCCTCTTTTGTTTATTTTTTGGAGTCTCTCTTTTGCGTTTCTCAACCCCAAATGGTTTTCCATCAGTGCTTTTTTGTTGTTGCTGTTCTTCTCTCGTTGAGGTTAAACCACACTTCCTTGCTTCATAATTCTAGCCACTATTTCCATGTTCTGCCAATTCTTGTTTATAAGAACAGAGAATAAAAGCTAAAATCATTACGACCCAGCATGTGATGCTGATTCTCACAACTTCAAACAGAAACCAGAGGAGTTGTTCGATAAAAATAGTTTTTGGTTAGTGTGTCCTTATGGAAGAATCAACCATTGAATCAATTGTACTACTGCTTATGGATTTCACTTGCAAAATGACACTGTTTAAAGAAACAAACAAAAACTGTCCTTAGGTGTGTTTTGCGGTGTTTTATCTATGTAGTATGAATGGAAAGTGAAGAAAGCACACGTCTTTGTAACTCATTAAAGATGTATACATTTGGCACCAAAGTGCAAACAATGAGCTAATTACCACTCTGGAAACAATTACCAAATGCTGTAAGCATGCTTATAAAAACCAATTCAGTTCACCACTCACAGCAAGTTGCCAGTGTTCTCGCAGCATTCTTATGAACCTCATACTTTGAGCGGCAGTCGCACCACTGCAACCCATGAAACAACTTACCTGCCATGACCGGGTTTCGTACTCTCAATGGGTGGCTTTGACCAGCCTGAGTTTAATTCACCAGTGGTGACTTTTTTTTTTTTTCTAATAGCTTATTAGTAATCGGATGTGATGCATCTAAGGATTAGTGCGTTGAAAAGATGCAGATGCTCGGGATCTTTTGTTGTCAAGCCTGAGAAAGTCACACATGTGCATTCACTCGTCGATTCAAAGCCACACATGGGTTAAGTGCCAAAACAGAATGCTAATGGTTGAAATGGTAAATACACTAAAACATTGCAAAGTCTGCACCGGGTTTAAGGCTTAATCCAGGGGGGGACAGTGAGACAAAAGGACATCATTGTCTCTTCCTGTACTTGTGCGGCACCATGTGCCAATACAGAGTTGTTTTAGGATCTTAGCATAATGAGATATACACAAAGAGTTGAAGTACTTAATCATTTCTTATAAATATTCTTAATTTATTTTTACAATTAGATATTTCAGTTTGGCTTGGTGATGACCAAAAATGTTATCAGTGGATATAGTATAAAGGGCTTGACATTAACACCTGCCAATCCGCCAAATGCAGGTAGATTTTACCTGTGGCGTGTTGGACAGCCGCTCTCACTAGCCACTTTGGCTGGTTGAGAATGATTATTAAATTGCTATTGCTGGCTTGTCACTAAAGATTAGACCGTTTGTCAATATGTGTGCAAATGTGATCTTTGAATTGATATGCAGCCTGACTGTTTACACAAGCAAAAAAAGCAGGTGATAATGAATGAACAATAATGAATGAGTGGATCATGCCCACAGTGAGACGCAGGCTTTCTTCGTTTGCTGACGAGGTGTGTAGTGTTGTGCGCACAGGTGATGTGATGTGCACGAGTGTTTTAAAAGCTTCCACGCTCGTTTCCCTTTGTAAAGCAACTGTGCCTAAAATGCAACTGGTTCTCTTTGAAATAGACAGGAAAAAATGCCATGCTTGTGCACCCACAGTCTTACTATTTTCGAGAGCTCAAGATTCTTTCTAAGCAGAAGGTTGCTGCTTTCCCTTTAACCTTTCTTTTAACAGATTATTAATGGGTCTAACATTAACCATAAACACGTGATTATACTTTCATTATTGCACACAGTGTTTTTCACCTGCTTTCTTTTGCCAACAGTAACTTTTGGTAATGGTCTAATTATCACCCTTTACAAAAACATTGCTTTAATAAAATATTAACTCTCTATTTAAATATTGATAACTCGTGATCTGGGACCTGTAGCCAGGACAGACCACTGTGCATAGTTTTAGATACATGACTAATTCTTTTAAATATCAATTGTTTTTTTATGTTGAATAAAGTGTATGTATAGCTAGATTTTGCTTGCTTTGACACATTATTTAAAATTTGTGGCAAGGAAAAAATAAGTTTGGTGTGGCCAGAGAGAAAAAAAAAAGCCATGAGAAATAAAACTAATTGTAATGCGACACTATGAAAGCACAACCCATTGCACATTAACTATGCACATTGAGCAAGATCATACACAACACACAAAAAAAGTTGAACGAGGAGGTATCTGGACTTAACACAAAATTGAAATCGAGTATTTTTAGAATGCCAAAGTCAAATTTATGCATTAAAACATTTTCCCAACAACAATTTGTGGCTAGTGAAAAGGGCAAGTGGCTAGTAACATTGGAAAACTAGTGGCTAACTATTAGAATACAAACACAGTGGCTGGTGATCAAAAAAGCCCTGGCAATATATTTTTTACATCTTATCTTTTGATATTTATCCAAGTAGTGATTTACTGCCAAAACCATTATAAAAGGGTAATTTGATAAAACTTGTTTTTTCCTTCCTGTATCCTAGATCACTAATATTACAGCATGATGCTTGAAATATCAAGTCGTGAGTTTGATTTTCAGAGAAGACAAGAACTAATTAAACGTATACCCAATAAAATGGATGTTGTTTTGGATAAAACATTTAGAAAATGCATAAATGTTAGTTAGATGATGTTCAATAGTTTTCTGCAGTTATGGTTTTATTATGATATCTGATATCTTTCCATTTAGTTTTTGACAATCATGCTCAGAAAGATTAAAATCAAGATTGAAATAGTAATAGTTGTAAAAGTTTTCACCCTCAAAATATAGAGTTTTCTGCAAAATTTTTCATTTTGAGCAATTTCTGTATATAATTCCTTCTATTGCGCAGCATGAGGTTGAGTTTAACTCAAATACTCTGCAGAAGGTGCAGTTTGATTGGAGAGCCAATTTAGATGTGATTTGTTCCACACTATATACTTAGATTAATTGTGCAGTTTAATTTATCAAATTGCTTTGAAAGTCCACTTGACTCAAAATTCAGTCTGGGCACATGCTTCGCTGTGACTCCCTTCTGTTGGGTCAATCTTTCCTTGATACTCAGAGATGTTATAATTCAAGAGAACAAATGTTTCGCTTTTAGCCTCATGAAAAGTTGACCCCTTGTTTGAAATGGACCCTGCAGCCAAATCCAGCCATTAAAGTCAGTCTTATCTGTGGGCTCATGGCCATCTATATGTTCCTGTTTAGATAAAGGGCTCCTTCATCTCTGCTTAGGGAATTGAATGAATGAACAATAGGACTTTAAAAGCTTGTGTGCCATTGGTAATTTTTGGCTTTCAGGCATTTCAAGATGACTAGTGACAGGCTAAAGTTGATTGTAATTGAGTAACATGAGAATAATGTTACCTGAGGTGTTTAATGACAGAGAGACGAGCAAGTTTAGCTACAAGTGGTTGAAAACGATGGTGTATTTTCACTCATCATAGATGAACAGCACTTTCACACATCTCGTATATTAGTTTTTCCAGAAAAAACAAGGACTCCAGTTCTAATACCAACTGTCTTATCCATTGTGGGAGAAGTGGGAGAGCTTATGTGGTTGGGAGTAAAATTATGCTATTCAGTCTTTGCCATTTAGCTCGCTAATCGAATCCTGTAGTATACCCAGGTGCTCCGAAAGCCTGTTTTTTTTGTGCATCTGACATAAACGGTGTTGGCTGATGTTATTTTGTCCTGTTTCTCCCTGCAGGAAGCTACACAGTGGAATGAAGACCTACGGATGCGAGCTATGTGGCAAACGCTTCCTAGACAGTCTGCGCCTAAGGATGCACTTGCTGTCTCACTCAGGTAACATCACTAATGTGGATCCTTGTTTTGTAGGTTTGGGCGAAATTTGTTTTTTGAAGTGATGTATGTCGATTTACTCTGCATGGTGAATTGAGGGATGTCTTTATATGTTTCCAGTTTATTTCTGGATGTTGTCAGTGCATGTTTTTATGGTGAGAGGAGTGTTTTCTTTAATAGAGAAGCGCACTTTCGTGGTCTGTAGTGAATCTGGTTTATATGGAGTCTATAAAAGCAGTGGGTTTCCAGTACAGGCCAGCAGGAATCTCCCTTTACCTCCCTCTGCGACTGCCAAATTCACAGGCCAGTGAAGTCAAAGTCCTTACCGCACACCAAACATGCACAATGGTCAAATTTTGTAGACTTTTGGCCCCCCTGTGGAGCACACTTGGGTTTATGATAATTAAGAGCGAGTGCTGTGCCGAGGTAATTGATTCCACAGTAATTAGGGGTTTAGATTAGATTAGATTAGTTAAAAAAAGAAAAAACTAGCAGATTAAACCACCAAACCTTTTCGACTCTTAACCTCGCACCGGTGGAATATTTCCACGTCAATATCTTCATATAGTGAGATGAGATTGACTTTTTACAGGGACGTTTAAAAAACACGGAGTGGAGAGATGAGTGACATCTCACGCTGGGCCGCCCAATTCAATTCATGCACGGCTCAGCATGGCAGACGCTGCTCTAAGGAAATATCTAATGTTTATTTTAGAGGCTGTTCAAATCCCAAGATGCATGTTCAATAACAGACTCTGTGGAGATATTGTAGTACTCGTGCGCTCATAATGGCAGCCCACGGAGCATGTACTGCACGGTGACATTTATGAGAGCTGTTCTGCAATGAGACAAAGAGGCCGAGGCTGAACTCCGATGAATACCTCTGTTTGGTATTCTGCACTGACCCGCAGAGACGCCTGTACTCGTGCGAAAGTATGTTCCGTGTCATTATAGTAATCCAGAAATCCTTATGGGAGACTGGCTTGTGCAGTTTGGATAATATGACTGCGGATAATCCTGTGCTCAGAAGCTGGGTTGCATGAGACTGTGGACTAGAGAACGCTTCAAAAAGTCCTTTGTAAAGCCACCGACTCTCTAAACAGACGAACTGAGTGCCATTTGGTGTGTTGTTGGTGTTTGCGAGGCCTAACACTTCACCCTCTCTGGATTACTGCAGGAGTTTACTGTAGGCTGAAATTTGGTCTCTGCGGCTCAAGTGTTTAAGAGTGTTGCTTCGCGTTCAAACTGTCCTTAGGTCAGAATGCGGACTCGGGTCACTCTTGAAATTGTTAACCTAAACCCCTGATAAACAGAATTATGGGTTATCTGCAATCATGTTTTACACTGCTCATACTATATCTGGGGTTAATGAATAGTCCTGGGTATTCGTTAACAGGCGTTTTACACTGTACATTCCTAAACCCTGGAGTTAACGTTGCATATTTACAGCTTTTCTTTTGACATTTCTTTCTTTTGAAGTTTTTACTCAACTCAACCTCTCACTTGCTGCTATTTGCACCACACTTGTTTCATTTCAAAATGTTATTGTAAACCTTGCTGCTCAATTTCTGATTTGGCTAACTATGGAGCATCCAGCAGCATAAGGCAAACATTTCAGTAAACATTTTAGGCCAAGTATCTTTTCTACCGGAGATACGGTTGTCCTAAAAAATATATATATATAAAAAAAATAAAAAAAAAATAGTACACACACTTTAAGAACGGTATTGCAGAAAATTTTGATGTTTTTAAAACCTTGACTTTTCCAAATCCCGGTATACCTTGAAAACAGTTATCGACCCATGCCTACTTAAGACCCCGGAGTTAACACCAAAAATGCAGTGCTAATAATTAGGGCTGTGTGATTAGTTGAAATTGTAACGAAATCGTGATTTGGAAATGCACAATTTCTAAATCGCCTTATAGCACAATTTTCCCGCAATATGGTATTTGAACCAATCATAATGAAGCACGCCTAAATACACCGTGAGAACAGGGGACTGAATACCCTGCATATACAGGGATGATACAGGGAGTTCAGCATAGGAGGACTTGATGCTAGAAAAAGCCAACATCTGTGGCTGATGTATGGCAGAACCAGGTAATTTGTAAGTCAGTCATATATTGTACCTAGAAGCGAGTGGAAAGCTTGGGTGCGTCACTTATTTCAGCATTTTCAACGTGCTTTGCATACGCTGCTTTGTCGTTGCTCAGTGACCATCAACTGTTTTTTTTTAGAGGATAACAACCTAACAAAACATTGCTGCAGTTCCGATAAAAGTTTTGTGTATGGAGAGAATTAAAAGCACTTGATGTTCGGGTGTCTTGTGTTTGTCTGAGGTAACCGAATTGTGGATATTCCATACAAAATATGAAGCTGATTGGTCAGTTCTTGTTATGTTACTGGTTGTGCGGCTTTCTAAAAAGTTGCATTTAAAGTTTGTCTGAAAAGAAATGTTTTTAGCTGGGTGTGCTTGGCATATACAGTACGTGCTTGCTGCGTGCCACTTTTAATATGTGCACTCAATCCATGCTCCTCCTTTGGAAATAATGGACTTGTGTGCGTAAAAGAAGCGATATGTGAATGACCTATTCCACGGCAGCGTCACAAGGAGGTCTATGATCTATGCATGACAAAACAATTTGCAGTTTGACTGTTTGTACATGTTGACTCAGAAAATGCATTATCAGTATTTGTATTTATCAGTCTATATATTGGTTTGTTTTCAAATATATAGAGTTGTGCATCCATACTGTTTGTCCTGATGCTACTTTTTTGACACTTAACTCCTCTTTCTTTTCATTTTCTTATTTTGCTGGTGCTGCTTCCTCTGCTTTTCGGTTCATTTCCATTACTGTCATCATTTGATTTCTCTTCTCATCATCATCAAAATCAACTGCTGCTTCATCTTTACCTCCTTCCTCATCTTCATGAATTAATTAAAATAATGTTATACTTAAAGCTCATTTTACAAGTCAAACTCTGATAGATTTAATCTGATTTAAAGTGCCTCCCAAACCCTTGTGAACTGGTCTCTGAAACAAATCCTGTCAAAAACCAGTAGAGATCAGAATACAGAAAGTGAGTGTGCTTGGACTGTGTTCATTAAGCATTCTGCCACCAACAGTTTCTGTTTTTCCCCCATTTATTTACTTCTCTTATAAGATTGAGCTGAAAATGAGAAATGTCAGTAATCAAGATGACAGTTTTGCATTTAAAACAGCACAAGAACCAGTCGTAATTCCTTAAGATCTCTACCAAAAGAGCAGCGCCAGACAGCCTCCCTCAACAGGCGGAATAAGCGAGCAATGCGAGGCGGCTTATTTTTAGTGCATCAAAACAGAGCACAAAAAAAACCCCTAGAACAAAACAGTTTTAACGTTCATATGCTGGATGCTTGACACACAGCGCTAACCTGGTTTTTGTTTGTAGCAGTCTGGCTCTTGAGAGCTTCACTCTTGTGTAATGCTCAAGCTTTTCAGTGGAAACACTTTTATAGACACAGACAGTGGCAGAGAGGCAGAGACATGGCGCAGCTCTTTGATTGTTTTGTTTTGTGTTTCGTTTTTTTTTTCTCCCTCGCATCGCTTTGTTCTTTCATCGCAAACTTTCTGTTTTTATCCTTCCTGTTCTGAGCGGTTTGATTTTTATCAGCGCTCACAACGGTGACACCAAGCAAGTGGCTTTGCCCTCCACCTCCTCCGCTCTCTCCTCTTCAAGCGAAGGTGCTGAAGAATGGTATTAGGTATGTTGTGTGTATTGTGGTATACCATTTCAGTCACACTCGCACACACACACACACACCCCTTCACTGCTCTCGGCTGGTGCACGCTGTCTCTGTTTGTTTTATTGTGGACTTGGCAAGGCGCCAGTCTGGGCCGCCTGCCACAACCCAGGGTACAGTATGTACAGTGAATCTTGCGCCAGCTTTTTTTTTTCTTTCCTGTGTTGTCTTTTTTCAGATAATTGTTTGACAGCAGTGGTTGTGGTGGCTGTTTTGTTTTGTGCATTTTTTTTTCTTCTTGCGAGGCCTCACATCCTGGAGTTTGGGTGGAAGTGCTCTGCGGTGAGGGCCTGATAATGGAAAAGTGCGCGCGTGTGGATGTTTTTTTTTTTTTTTTTTTTTTTTTTTTTTTTGTCAGGTTTAAGGTCAACATGGTCTGGGAGCTGCTGGGTAGCGAGGCAGCACAGTATTGAAGCAAAAAAAAGTGGGGGGAAAAAAGTGACTCAGCCATTTGGAGCACGACTAGGCTATTAGTGTTATGTGAGCTTCCCTTGTGACTTCAAAGAGTGCAGAGCGTGGTCTGGGTAGGCTAGCCAAGGGACATATTTTGATCCATTTTTGAAAGGGGAAGCAAAGCTTTTCGGTGGGATTACAGATCAACATAGGCTGTTTGGCATATATCATCTGTATTTTTAACTTTTAAATACTTTTTAATCTGCAGCTGTAACTGACTGTAGCTGTTAGAGGTTAGAAGCTATTGTGCTATAAGCAATATAACACAGAAACATTTTAATGTTTGTTTTTATGTGTTTTACTTATTTAGGTTGCCAGAATGTTATATACAGTTGAACTCAGAATTATTAGCCCCCCTCCTTTTTTTTAAAATATTTCCCAAGTTATGTTTAACAGAGCAAGAAAATGTTCACAGTATTTCTGATAATGTTTTTTTCTTCTGCAGAAAGTCTTATTTGTTTTGTTCAAGTGTAATTCAGATATTAACTGTCATCATGGCAAAGATCAAATAAATCAGTTATTAGAAACAAGTTATTAAATCTATAATATTTAGAAATGTGTTGGAGAAAAAAAAAATCTCTCCGTTAAACAGAACATTGGGGGAAAATAAACGGGGCTAATAATTCAGGGGGGCTAATCATTTTGACTTCTGTGTGTTATAAATGTATGTTATAAATATAATGTATATTTTATTCAATGTCTATTTTTTTAAGTAATATATTTGGAAATTTAGATTAGATTTATTTCATAATGTTATGCAAACAT